AACTGGCCTTAATGGCGGCTAAGCTTGGCAGTCGATTTTCCGATGTAGCGAGGTGGAGTACGAACGATGGTTTCGACGGCGGCCGTTGTGTGAAATAACTTCCAGTCGGAGGACAACGTAGAACATGGTGAGTTGGACGGCGGCGAATCGGGACTCACGTCTTCCGGCAGCGCCCTTGGTTTTATACATCGCTGGAGCACCTGTGGAATCGTGACGGCGTCGGAGGGCTCGACCGGATCTGCAATTTGTTAACAGTGGAGGCGGAGTGTTCGGTCGGCTCTGCGATGGAGATTGACGCGGCGGCGTACGGACGACGGCTCTGGTTCTGGAGTTGGAGCGGCGACGGACATTGGAGGAGCGGCAAGCGTGCGGGAGGAGCAACAAACGTTGGATGTCGTCGGGAGAGATAGAGAAAAAGAAATGTGGGGGAGAGAGAGATAAAAGTGGGGGAAAGAGAGAGAGAGAGAGAAAAGTGGGTGTTGGTGGCACTTGTAGTAGGTTGGTGGGGTCCACTAATGTTGGTGGATGATGGTTTTTGGGACCGTATAATTACTAATTTACGCTTAATGAGTGAGATCAGATAATTGACATTTTTTTAGTTGTTGGATTATCCGATTCGATGGCTGAAATTTATTCTTATTTTTTTTCACTAAGCACTATTCTCATGTAAACTCATCCCTATATATATATACTAAAAATTAAAAATCTTGGGGGGACAATGGCCCCTCCTATCTTCAACATAGATTCGTCCCTGCATTTATTTTTCACTCACCGAAAATCAATTTTGAGAAATATATATACCACGAATATCTACTCAGAACGTAGAATTTTCTACACAATTTAATTCAATCCAAATTAAATATTTAGCAATAAAAAATCAGTTAAAACCGGGTCATACTCAATTTTATATTACTGATTTTTCAATAATATATACATACACACATTTATATATATTATTTTTTAAAATACAATTATTTATATATATTTAACTAATAAATATTTTAGATGAATACAATATTATTTAAATTTTAAGGTATAAAATTTACATATAAAAGAGTTATGGATATAAATTTTATGTTTTAATATATATATAAAATTTTATATTTTTTAAAATTAATTATTTGGACAGTAACTAACCGGATGACCAAATTTTCTGTCTGGATGAAAGGGGCCGATTTGAAAATCTGCTTTTAAAGGGGTAATCGACGAAATTCTTGAACGACTTTGAATATAAGAAACCCAACCATATTTATAGACAATACAATATTAAAATTTGCACCCGGGGTTCACGGTTTCTCAGGGATCCGAATTTGTCCTTTTCATAATACTCTATTTTCATTTTTCACATCAAAAAAACTAATGATTAACGTTCATTTGATTATGTGAGTAAAAAATACTATCCATCCCACAATAATCAGGGCATTATCCAAAGTTAGGAAGATATGCTTGTCAATTGTCATCTACCTACAAAAATAATATTAAAATCTTCAAATTTCAGGTCAAATGCAGATTGACGGTGGGATTTTCTCTCCATTGCCCATTTGAAAAGATCATCGGCCCAAATCCACCCAACACAGAAGTGGTATTACCGTTGCGGATAAAGCAGTGTCACGCCCGTAAATAAGATGAAAATGGTGGGGAGTTACTGTAGGTAAAATTGTAAATAAGGACAAAAGGAGGGGCCTACCCCGAGAAGAACGAAAAAGTTAATCCCAGAATTGCCCCTAAACGGTTCCGCTTCCTCGCCTCCTATAAATGTCTCTTGCCCCCACTCTGCACACGTTCATCAGTCATTTACCCATTGCTTCTGCTGCTACTTTCTCTCTCTAGCTCCGCCCCTCTTTTCACTTTTCCGAGTCTCTCTCTTAGGGTTTTCTTTACCAGTCTCTCAATTCAGAAATGGCGCAAGAGTTGCAAAACGGTGCTGGAGCTGACAACGGCTCGGAGGGAGCTGCGGTGGTCTTTGCGGCGGTCAAGCCGTGGTTGGTGGTGGAGTCGCCGAAGGCGAACGACGCCGTTCAGTTCTACAAGGCGGCGTTCGGAGCTGAGGAGGTCAGCCGCGTGAATCACCCCAAGAGGAAGGCGGAGCAGGAGATCCCTCTGGTTCTCTCTGCTGAGCTCAAGCTTGGATCCTCTGCTATTGTTGTCTCCGACCTCATTGACGACGCCTCTGCTCCGTAAGTCTATGACCTTCTTTCTCATCCATTTGTTTCTCTGTCTTTTTTCTGTTGATGATACTTGTTTTAGCCGATTATGTTGTTAAGATTCTTCGTAAGCCTATTTTTCTTCGACTATTGTAGTTATTTTGCTCAGATCTGAGTTGTTTTGCTGTTTATTATGTGTATTTTCATTTGTTCTGAGGTAATCGTCGATATTTTATCTTTTGTGACTGTGATAATGCTCAGTGTATTAAGATTGGGGATAGATGATTGTTTAGTCCAACTATTTCTGTAATATTTGTTTATGTCTCTATACTTTGGTTCATTTTCCTTTTTTTGGTCCGCCAAGCATAGTAGTTGTTTCTTTCAAACCTTGTGTGAGTTTGTATTTTTTCTTCTCAGGGATCTGTTTATTTTTTTTCATTTTTTGCTAGTCCTGTTAAGTTATTTCGTTGCAGTATGATTTCTGATAGCCATAACCGTGTCTGTGAGGTCATGCATGCATTTGTCGTGGACATTGTAAAATCCACGCTTCTTGTCCAGTAATAAAACTATTTCTGTAAGTAATTCTTTTACCAACATATTAATTTTATTTTTATTTGAATTTTAGGGTGAAATCTGTTGTTACCGGAAGCGTGTTCTGCTTGGAGACCGGTGATGTTGAAGCCGCCGTCACCAAAGCGGTGGCTGCTGGCGCTGTTGCTGAAGGCGAGATCTCTGAGGGTGAAGGCGCGTTTGGTGGTGGGCGCGTGGGGAAGGTGATGGACCCCTACGGCAACGTCTGGCTCATCTGCACCCCATCTAAGAAGGGTGGTGACGTGGCAGCATAAGAGCCCTCGATCTGACTGAAGCACTCCAACAACTATCTCTAATTACTACCTAGTCCTTAGTTGCTTTCGTTTTGTACCTAATCAACCCGGATTTGACCGACCTTTTATCCTTATTTAGGAGAGAAAAAAACTGGTAGATGAACAATTTTAGGTGGAACTTTATTTTGCGAATCGTCTGGGCGTTGATTAGTGGGTTCTGAACAATCAAATCTAAGTGTTAACTCTCCTTATTAATGGCTGGTTATTACTATTATTTGCAGTGCGTTCTGACTTATGCAGTATTAAATTTGGTATGTTTTTTTTTTTAAATTTTTGGGGAAGTTCTTCTTTGAGAGTGTTAAAATATCTACCGGCGTGGATGAAAGGAAAAGGTACTATTTGTTGCTATTATGTGGAGAGATTGCTTTTCTTAGTCTTAAATTATATATATTTGCATAATAGTATCCTTTATCGCGTTTACTATCCACACTAGTCTTTGGTAATTTTATAGATTGTGAAAAAATGGAATTATTTCGAGAATATTGATGATACTGTCTTGCCTTCTTGTTGTGAGCTTATTACGAGTCTACATTGATAAACGTGATCTTTAATTCTGCTGTCTTTCCTTGGTAAAGCGCCAGTGTACTCTATCGAATTTGAATTTTTCATATGAACTTCAATGCCTTTTTGCGTGCATCTTAATCCAATGGGATTTGTGTGTTTAGTACCATGCGTTAAAATTAGAGTAAAGCATTGGTGTATGAAACGTTGAATGTGAACACAATTTGTCCCCTTTTGGCCATTAGGAAGAGCTGCTTGTAGTGGGCTTCAGGCTACTAATTTGACCATATGGAAAAAATTCATATTGGTGTCAACATCTCGTGATAAAAATCCAAAATTCAGTTACTAAACACTTGAGGGAAAAAGAGGAAAATAGGAATTAAGAACTCATTGCTGTAGTTCAAGTTGGGTGATATAATCAATTGCCAAATGGAAGGTTTTTCTTCTCTCTGTCATTGATGAGATTTTCTTTGTTCTCTTAGTAAAGGTAAGGTGCATATATTCTAAAGGAGTTGTGGCTGACTTGGATAAATTCTGATTCCGCAATAGAAAAATGTACAGGATTATGACTGGTCCCCAATCGACCTGAATTTTGGAAACATATTAATTTTTGTTATTTTGTTTTCCTGTAATTGGAAAAGTATGGATCTATGGCAATGTAATTCTTTTGCAGCAACACGAAATAGTTCTATCATCTTCAGCGGCGGATACAGATTTTTTCATGCAATACGAAATAGTTCTATCATTTTCAGCGGTGGATACATAATTTTTCATTAGCCTGGGCAAAAAATTTAGTTATCATTTTAAAAATTAATTCTCCTTAAATATGGAAAAATCTTTATAATATTTTTATTTCTTGTATGAGGTGATTAACCGTTATGCGGCCTGATTTATTATATTTTATTCAATAAGAATGCATACTTATGCTATGAATGTCATTTTTCATGTTGATATTTAAAGTGTGATTCAATTTGAAATTGACATTTATTTAAAAAGTATAGTTTTTTAACCATTAGGTCTGTCAGACAATAGGCTTAATTGTATGTGTTTTTAACCTCTAACCTCAACCTGAAATACTTGTAGTTGTCTGTTGAAATGAGTTGGGCTTACATTATAATATTAAGAACAAAATAATTAAAAAAAAAATTGATTTGATGCTATAAAAGTAAAATAACATTATTTATAAGAAAGTCATCATTTAGTTCAAGAGGAAATACATAGTGATTTTTGACAGATTGTATTTTTTTTTTTTGTTATGGTTATAATGAGAATTTAGTTCAAAAGGAACTAAATAAATAATTTTATTGTTTATAAAGAAATCAAAAATTTAGTTCAAGAGAAAATAATAAATTTTTAGTGAGAATTTTTTTCGTTACATTTATAATGAGCATTTAATAGTTAATGAGAAAACTAGTAAAAAAAATTAGTTGATGAGAAATTCAATAGCAATTTTTATTTGGGCCCCACTAAAACAAAGTGAGATGTCAATGTCTTCTTCTCCATCCAATCTCCATGTAAGTCATTTTTCACACATATTACAGAGATAATAGGTACTAACTATACTTATCAGCAAAATTATTGCCTAGGCTGGACTGAATGTCAATCCGCTACAGATCATCTTTCTGGGTCTTTGTTGAAGTGGAGTACGATGTTCACTTCTTAGTTTTTGCTGACAAAATTTTAAATCGATTTGTAGAATGTGAGTTATAGTTGTTTGTTAATTTCATGTTAGTTTTAGGGGGCATTTTAGTACTTTCCTTTTGGAGTGGAATGTATAAGTGAGGTTGTTACCTACTAGCCATTGGAACTTTGGGTCAGATATTTTTCAGTTTACCGTGAATGAAAATTTATTAGTGAATGGAAATGGAGTTTCCCCAATAATTTTCTCTATGTTTTCTACTTTGGAGCTCTGCCATTGAACATGGTATCAGAGCATGAAAATTAAGGAAAAATTTACAAAATGGAGAGAGTGTGGAATACAGTTGTGATGGGCGGTCGCAATACAATTTCTAATGGTGAAAGCAGTGAGAGCCGATCAATGATCATGAAGTCAGCTGGACCATTTTATCCTCTCGATATTTAAATTAGCTCGAACCACCTGAACTCCTTTTGCAGCGTTCTCACCTCGTCCACATACTTTTGAAGTTGATCTTCTTTAACGTTAAAGCTTCATTACAACTGGCCGACTACTAACTGAGAATCAAAATGGACTTGTAGCTCTCAAGTTCCTCTTGCCAACACCAACTGCAAGCCTTTCAACAAAGCCTCATACCCGGCCTCATTGTTCGACACCTTAAAACCCAGTTTGGTCGCCAACTCTAGATTATCCTTTTTCGGTGAAATCAACATGATACGTAAGCCTGCTCCTCCCTCAGAGACCGATCCATCCACAAATATCTGCCACCTTCCCTCTGCTTCGCCCTCCATGCCTGTTCCTTTCTGAATGAAACTTGTCAGAACATGTGCCTTAATCGACCTCCGAGGTTCGTACACCAAAGAATACTCACTCAGCTCGATCGCCAACTTGACCATTTGACTTGAAATTGAAGGTTGACATAGTGTTTCTCCGAGTGGCATGTTCATCCTAACCTTGACCTTATGAATAAGAAAATATGAACTCAACTTCCTAACTGTTACAACCACTGCCAAAGCCCCCTTTTTGATCTCAGAGTGCCTCAACTACGTACCTTGAATCACTCGACTCACATAGTAAATTGGTTATTACGCCATGCCTTCCTCCCACAACACTACTGAGTTCACTGTCGCCGCCCCGATCGAAATGTAAAGCACTAAATCTTCTCCTTGCACCGGTTTGGCCAATAAAAGTAGATCAACTAGAATGACCTGCAACTCTTTAAATGCGTCCTGGGCCTCCTCCGTCCACTTAAACTTTGAGCTCTTCTTCAATGTTATGATAATGGGATGCTCATCTCGGCCACTTTTGAAATGAATCGACTCTGCAATTCGACCAGTCCAAATCTACACTTCCTTCACATGCTTTGGGGGTCTCATCTTCAACACTGCCCTTACATTCTCAAGGTTCACCTTGATGCCCTTTATGATCACCATATACCCAAAAAATTTTCCTGACTTCACACCGAAAGATCATTTAGTTGGATTCAACTTCATCACATACCTTCTCAATATGGTAAAGGTCTCTCTTAGGTCTGCTACGTGGTCGGCTTCCATCCTGCTCTTAACTAGTATCATCCACGTATACTTTCATGTTTCGACCTAACTGCTCTTTAAAAATTTTATCGGCCAACCGCTGATATGTTGCACCTGCATTATTTAGGCTGAAAGGCATGACCACGTAACAGTACATCCTCTTGCTCGTCACAAAGCTCACCCTCTTCCAGTCTTTCTTTGCCAGTGGGATTTGGTGATAGCCTTGAGAAGTGTCCATCAGGCTCAACAACTCTCACCCTGCTATGGAGTCGACCAGCTGGTCGATCCTTGGCAACAGGTATAATCCTTGGGGCATGCCTTGTTGAGGTCTCTAAAATCCAGTGTTTTAAGTACCGGTATGTACCGGTAATACCGGATACCGGTGGTCCAACTGGTATGATTACCGCCAAAATACCGTTTTAGCGAAAATACCGGTTTATACCGGCTTCATATCGGAAAGTACCGGTTTTACCTGCCAAAATTCAGGCTAAAATACTGGGCATACCGGATTTTTGTTAAAAAATATTTTTATAACATATTTTTATTAATTTATTTATATAAAGAGAAAGTTCTACTCTTAAATTTAGTATATTTACATTGTTATTTGACTTTAGATAATTTTAATATTTATTATAGTTAGTTTTATATATTATTTATATTACAATAATAGATTAATTTAATATTTATTAAAACCGAAAATAGACGGTAAAACCAGTTGAACCGCGTACCGGTGGCTAGTCCGGTATGGTCACCAGTACGGTATTTAAAACATTGCTAAAATCAATACACATCCATCATTTTCCCTCTAACTTATAAACCATCACCGTGTTTGATAGTCACTTCGAGAACTGAATCTCGACCACATGCCCTGCCCTTAGTAATTTATCGACCTCTTACTCGATAACTTTATCCATTTATGCTCTATGGTGGTGCCTCTTCTATCACGACCAAACGTTGAGGTCGATGTTCAGTCGATGCTCGATTATGCTCGCATCAATCACTGTGATCTTCTCTGAAGTATAGGTAAAGATATCTGCAAAGGAGTACCAACCTGATCAACTTCGTTCTTAACGGATTCTCCAATTCGGCCCCAATTTGAAGCTTCCTCTCATCACTTCCCTCGACCATCTGAATCTAATCGACCTCCTCTTCAGGCTGAATGTCCGCCTCTTACTTCCTTATGTCCATATTTGGCCTCTTATCTTTCGACCTTGACCCACTCGGCCTGCTCACTCATATTCCTTTGGGGCATTCAACCTTCTCGCATTCCTCTTGTTCACTCCAACTATAGTCTCATAGCACGTCCTCACGTCAACTAATCTCCTACGACCTCTCACATTTTATCTTCAACTGGATAATTGATCATCATATGGTACGTCGAAACCACCGACTGGAAGGCGTTTAGGCTCGTTCTCCCCAGAATGATGTTATACGAAGACTCAGTTCCCACGACTACAATCTTGATCATTTTCATCTTCCTCAACAGAGCGACAGGTAGAGTGATCTCACCCATGGAGACGACCTCAATACCACTAAATCCATACAAGCATGTAATGACCTCCTTCAGCTCCACATCCAAATCTAGTTGTCTAAAACTATCATAGAACATCACATCGCGCAAGCTCTCTGTGTCAATAAACATCATTTTCACATCGTATCATGCCACCTCTGCTATAATTACTAATGCATCATTATGGGGTACGTGCAGTCCTTGAGCATCCTCGCTTGAAAATAGATCACAGGTGCTCGAGCTGTTATGCTGACCTCTTCTCTCTTCCTCTTCGCAGCTCGAGAGTGCTTCTTCCTTGCATTATTGGAGTCCCCATCAATGGGACCTCCAGAGATCATATGAATGACCCCCCCTCTTTGGAGGGGCCTCATTCTCCTCTAACCCTCGATCATCTCTCCCATGAAATCTTTTACCTCCACCTCGGTCCTCACAATCCTCTCTATCCTCATCTTCGTCCTGAACCTTCTTGTCAACTGAGTCCTCTCGACATCTCATCTTTT